TTTTTTTTTTTTTTTTTTTTTGAGTCAGGGTCTGTCATTAAGGCTGGAGTATAGTGGCACAATCATGGCTCATTGCAGCCTCAACTTCCTGGGCTCAAGCAACCCTCCCACCTCAGCCTCTGGAGTAGCCAGGACAACTGGAGTGTGCCACCATGCCCAGTTAATTTTTGTATTTTTTGTAAGGACAGGGTTTTGCCATGTTGCCCAGGCTGGTCTCAAACTCCTGAGATAAGTGATCTGCTTCCCAAAGTGCTGGGATTACAGGAATGAGATACCGTGCTTAACCTAGTCATGGTCTTATACCATCTCCATGGAAGGACTTGGGCTGCTTTTTTATGGCTGAGTAGAAAGGTGTTGGAAATCAGATCTTCAGTTTGAAGTCATATATAAGTTGTTTAGGGAGAATCTTGAGATAGAAATTATAGAGACTAAACTGTTCCTCCTTGTCCACCAGCCCATCTAAACTTTTTTTTTTTTTTTTTTTTTTTTTGAGACAGAGTCTCCCTCTTGCCCAGGATGGAGGGCAGTGGTGCAATCTCGGCTCACTGTAACCTCCGCCTCCTGGGTTTAAGTGATTCTCGTGCCTGAGCCTCCTGAGTAGCTGGGATTACAGGCACACGCCACCATGCCTGGCTAATTTTTGTATTTTTAGTAGAGATGGGGTTTCACCATGTTGGCCAGGCTGCTCTCAAACTTTTGACCTCAGGTGATCCGCCTACCTTGGCCTTCCAGAGTGCTGGGATTACAGGCATGAGCCACCGTGCCTGGCCTAAACATTAAAAAAAAAAACACCTGTTTTTTTGGCCAGGCACAGTGGGTCATGCCTGTAACCGCAGTACTTTGGGAGTCCAAGGTGGAAGATCTCTTGAGCTCAGGAGTTTAGACCAGCCTAGGCAACATAGGGAAACCCTGCCTCTACAAAAATCCAAAAACTAGCTGGGCGTGCTGGCTCCTGCGCATGGTTCCAGCTACTTGGGAAGCTGAGACAAGAGGATCACGTAAGCCAAGGAGGTCAGGGGTGCAGTGAGCTGTGATCCTGCTACTGCACTCCAGCCTGGGCGACAAATAAAGAAAGAAGGGCTGGACATGGTAGCTCACCCCTGTAATCCTAGTGCTTTAGGAGGCCAAGGTGGGTGGATCACTTGAGGTCAGTAGTTCGAGACCAACCTGGCTAACATGATGAAACCCCATCTCTACTAAAAATATAAAAATTAGCTGGGTGTGGTGGTACGCACTTGTAGTCCCAGTGATTCAGGAGGCTGAGGCAGGAGAATCACTTGAACCTGGTAGGTGGAGGTTGCAGTGAGCCGAGATTGCAGCACTGCATTCCTGCCTGGGCAACAGAGTAAGACTCCATCTCAAAAAATAAATAAAACAAATAAATAAATAAATAATATCTTTCTTTCAGATTCTAAATTGAAGAAAGTAAAAACTGTAACTCTACTACTGAAAGGATAACCACTGTTAATGTTGAAAACCTTGTTTATTTGAATAGCTGATACATGAACATGGCATGCAATTTTAAAAATCCTTTAGAATATACAGTAGTAAAAAGAAGACTCCCTTGACCCTAGCTGTTTAGTTTCTTTCTCAGCGGCAATTACTGTTGCACTGTTTAGATGTTCATATTTTGTTTCCTGTGCCTTCTCCTCTCCTCCAATTTTATTATGAAATTTTATAAGCACATATTTGCAAGCATTAGTCATTTGGAAGTAAATTACAGACTCAATCACATTTCACCCCAAGTGCTTTAGCATTCACCTCTGAAAATCATCATTCTCCTGTACTACCGCTATTTTATGAGTACAGCTAAGAAAATTTCCTCATGTCATCAATTATCCAGTTTATATTTAAGCTTCCTTAATTTGCTTCTTAAATGTCTTTTTGTTGTTTTGGAACCAGAGTCGAGTCAGAGTTTGTGCACTCTTTGCCTATGCCTCAGAAATCTCTCATGCTTTGGAATGGTTCTCTCAACCTTTCATTTTAGACACTTTTTTTGTTTGTTTTTTGAGACGGAGTCTTCCTCTATCACCCAGGCTGGAGTGCAGTGGCGCGATCTTGGCTCACTGCAACCGTTGCCTTCCAGATTCAAGCGATTCTCCTGCCTCAGCCTCCCGAGTAGCTGGGACTACAGGCACATGTTACCATGCCTGGCTAATTTTTTGTATTTTTTTAGTAGAGACGGGGTTTCACTGTGTTAGCCAGGATGGTCTCATCTCCTGACCTCGCGATCCATCCGCCTCAGCCTCCCAAAGTGCTGGGATTACAGGCATGAGCCATCGCGCCCAGCCGACACTGACTTTTTGAAAAGATCAGGCCATTTGTCTTGTAGAACATCCCACGTTCTGTGTTCATGTTAAGGTTTCCATGAGGAAACCTTACTATATTCCTCTATATTGTATTGCTGTATTTCCTAGAAACTGGAAGATAAGTCTAAAGGCTTGTTTAGGTTCAAGTTAGTCTTGCTCTGTCGCCCAAGCAGGAGTACAGTGGTGTCCTCAAAGCTCACTGCAGCCTGAAACTCCTAAGCTTAAGCGATCCTCCTTCCTCAGCCTCTTGAATAGCTGGGACTATAGGTGCATGCCACCAGGCCCAGCTAATTTTTAAAGTTTTGGTAGAGGCCGGGCTTGCTGGCTCACGTCTATAGATTATAATCCCAGCACTTTGGGAGGCCCAGGCAGGTGGATCACAAGGTCAAGAGATCAAGACCATCCTGGTCAACAAGGGGAAACCCCGTCTCTACTAAAAATACAAAAATTAGCTGGGCATGGTGGCGCGTGCCTGTAGTCCCAGCTACTTGGCAGGCTGAGGCAGGAGAATTGCTTGAACCCAGGAGGGGGAGGTTGCGTGTGAGCCGAGATCGTGCCATTGCACTCCAGCCTGGGTAACAAGAGCGAAACTCCGTCTCAAAAAAAAAAAAAAATAAATAAATAAATAAAGTTTGGTAGAGACTGGGTTTTGCCTTGTTGTCGAAGCTGATTTCAAACTCCTGATTTCAAGCGATCTCCCTGCCTCGGCCTTCCAAAGTACTGGGATTACAGGTGTGTGCCACTATGCTTGGCCTGGGTCCTATTGTATAGCTTCTGATTGCTATACAGTAACTGCAGGAGGACTGTTTTTCTTAAGCCTTTGACCCAGAGCATTGGTTGTGCCCAGTCTCTATGGGGGCAGAGGAGTAATCTCTCCTCCCATTAGTTTGAGTACTGAAGGGGCATTCTTGTTCATCTCAATATCTTTATTCCTTTTCCTCTCCTCTTCATCCTGACTTTCCCTCTACTGCCTTGTCCCCTCTTCCCTTAGGTAAGTCAAATCTCATGGATGCCATCAGCTTTGTGCTAGGTGAAAAAACCAGCAACCTGCGGGTAAAGACCCTGCGGGACCTGATCCATGGAGCGCCTGTGGGCAAGCCAGCTGCCAACCGGGCTTTCGTCAGCATGGTCTACTCTGAGGAGGGTGCTGAGGACCGCACCTTTGCCCGTGTCATTGTAGGTGGGTGAGGCTTGCCAGAAGGCTCTCTTTGGGTCCTGGGAGGTGGCTAGACTAGTTGACTGGGACAGGAAGGAGGCCTGACCCTTGCCAACTCATGCATTGTTTTGTAGGGGGTTCCTCTGAGTACAAGATCAACAACAAAGTGGTCCAGCTACATGAGTACAGTGAAGAATTAGAGAAGTTGGGCATTCTCATCAAAGCTCGTAACTTCCTCGTTTTCCAGGTGGGCGGTTTTAACAGTTGTTGGCTATCTGGTTTTTGCCAGACCATGTCCCATCCCTACTGTGCCTGCTTCATCTCAGTTCTTATTATCTCTCCCTTGAACTAATGTAGCACCTTCTTCACTGAGCTTCCTGACTCCAGTATGGCCTCTGAGCCAGGTTCATCTTATGAGGACACACATTTGTTTTGTTTCCCCTCCCTTTTTTCCTTAAAGCATTTCAGTGATTCCTTATTACCTTACAGTGGTGGTTCTTAAACTGTAGTCTCCACACCAGCAGTATCAACATTACCTGGGAACATGTTAGAAAATGCACATTCTTGGGCCCTGTCCTAGACCTCCTGACTTGGAAGAAACTGTGGGGTGGGGTAGAGCAGTTTATGTTTTACCAAGCTCTCCCGCTTATTATGATGCTGGCTGAAATTTGAGAACTGTTGCCTTAGGATGAGATCCAAATTCCTAAGCCTATCATTTGGGAAATATCATCATCGAAATCCAAATACCATCTGCATGCTCTTCTCTTCCAGCCTTGCACTGCAGCCTACTTAAACCATTTATGGTTCTGCAAATTCACCTGCTTTCTTTGGCCTACAGGTCTTTGCATATTAATTTACCTCTACATGGAATAACCTTTTCTTTTTTTTGTTTTTGAGACAGAGTTTCACTTGTCACTCAGGCTGGAGTGCAGTGGCACGATCTCAGCTCACTGAAACCTCCACCTCCCAAGTTCAAGCGATTCTCCTGCCTCAGCCTCCCAAGTAGCTGGGACTACAGGCACCTGCCACCACACTTGGCTAAGTTTTGTATTTTTGCTAGGGACGGGGTTTCACCATTTTGGCCAGGCTCGTCTTGAATTCCTGACCTCAGGCGATCCTCCTGCCTTGGCCTCCCAAAGTGCTGGGATTACAGGCATGAGCTACCATGACTGGCCACCTTTTGTCTTTTATTTTCTTGGTTAGTTTCCTCCCATCTTCCAAACTCAGCACAGACGTCACCTTTGGGAAGCCTTCTGAGATAGCTATCCCTGTCAGTCTCCTACCCCCAAGCTTCATTTTGTCCTTTTCATGTGCTCTTTCTGTTACTGCACGTAACACTGTGTTGTCTTTGTGTTTGTCACTTCCCTTTGGCTCCCTGTGCTCCACAGAGGGCAAGGAATTTGTCCTCAAAGCCCAGTGTGAAATGTGGCACCAGGGGCGTGGGAGAGAACGTCAGTGAACTTTTTTGGATGAAGGAGTGGAAATGGGTAAGGTGAACTGGGCTGGCTGGGGTCTGAAGTGGAAGAGTGTTTCGACCTTTACTAGGGTGCTGTGGAATCTATTGCCATGAAGAACCCCAAAGAGAGGACAGCTCTATTTGAAGAGATTAGTCGCTCTGGGGAGCTGGCACAGGAGTATGACAAGCGAAAGAAGGAAATGGTGAAGGCTGAAGAGGACACACAGTTTAATTACCATCGCAAGAAAAATATTGCAGCTGAACGCAAGGAAGCAAAGCAGGAGAAAGAAGAGGTAGGTGGCCAAGCTACCTCTTGGATCTGAGGGACCAGGATGGAGCCAGTGCCTTATCGATGCACCCCTGCCACCATTCCCCTGTTTGCACAGGCTGACCGCTACCAGCGCCTGAAGGATGAGGTAGTACGAGCTCAGGTACAACTGCAGCTCTTTAAGCTTTACCATAATGAAGTGGAAATTGAGAAGCTCAACAAGGAACTGGCCTCTAAGAACAAGGAGATCGAGAAGGACAAGAAGCGTATGGACAAAGTGGAGGATGAGCTGAAGGAAAAGAAGAAGGAGCTGGGCAAAATGATGCGGGAGCAGCAGCAGATTGAGAAAGAGATCAAGTAAGAGGTGGACCTGGGCCTGCAACTTGTGGGAAACCAAGAGGCCGTGCTGTTCATTAGGGTTCCTCTGAGCCCGCTTATTTCTCTGTTACTTTCCTGACTTGCTTCTGTAAGAACCAAGCCCATTTCTTGACTTGCAGTTTAGACAAATAGAATATTTAAGCAATCAGGCCCTCGGTAGACAGGTGCTCAGATGAGGGAGAACTCAAAAGGGATGGTGGCCTTGCCAAGAAAGAGGAAGCAATGTGAGGCCGAGCCAATGGAATGGCTGGGAAGGCCTTCCTAGAAAAGGAAAACTGAAGCTAGAAGTTTAAAGGATAGGAATTTGAAAAGGGTAGATCAGACAGGGGCCAACTAAGTAAATACAGGATGTTCTTGGGAGTTAATGAGTGTCCTGGCCAGGGTTGAGGCAGAGTTGGTAGCTTTTCCTTATGGAGTGGCTGGAATGCCAGGGTGAAGTCATACCTTCCAAAGAGTAGTCAGACTGCCCCTTTTTTTCAGCATCTGTGGGGCATCATGCCCTTGTTCTTTAATTCCCTGAGGTTGGCTCAGGGGCTTAAGCTCCCCTTTGGGTAAAAAGCCTGGGAACCCTCCCTTCTTCCATAATGTTCACTGATTTCCCCCGCCCTTCTGGCAAAAGGGAGAAGGATTCAGAATTGAACCAGAAGCGGCCTCAGTACATCAAAGCCAAGGAGAATACCTCCCACAAAATCAAGAAGCTGGAAGCAGCCAAGAAGTCTCTGCAGAATGCTCAGAAGCACTATAAGAAGCGTAAAGGTGACATGGATGAGCTGGAGAAGGAGATGTTGTCAGTGGAGAAGGCCCGGCAGGAGTTTGAAGAACGGATGGAAGAGGAGAGTCAGAGTCAGGGCAGAGATTTGACCTTGGAGGAGAATCAGGTAAGTTCTGGAAGGGGTTGGCAGGGAGGAGATCCCTGGGCTGACATCTGCTGACTTGGTCATCCCTGTTCTCTTTCCCTGTCCCTAACACAGGTGAAGAAATACCACCGGTTGAAAGAAGAAGCCAGCAAGAGAGCAGCTACCCTGGCCCAGGAGCTGGAGAAATTCAATCGAGACCAGAAAGCTGACCAGGACCGTTTGGATCTGGAAGAACGGAAGAAAGTAGAGACAGAGGTGGGCTACAGTTATTATGGTTGATGGTCCACAGAAAAGGAAGTACAGGTTGAGCATCCCAAATCCAAAATAATCCAAAATGTGAAAGATTTCTGGTCCCAAGCATTTTGGATGAGACATACCCAACGTGTAATGATAGTCTTTTTCTTTTTTTTTTTTTTGAGACACTGTCTCATTCTGTTACCCTGGCTGGAGTGCAGTGGTGCAGTCTTGGCTCACCACAACCCCTGCCTCCCGGGTTCAAGTGAGTCTCCTGCCTCAGCCTCCTGAGTAGCTGGGATTACAGGCACCCGCCACCACGCCCAGCTAATTTTTTTTTGTATTTTTAGTAGAGCTGGGGTATCTCCATGTTGGCCACGCTGGTCTTGAACTCCTGGCCTCAAGTGATCCGCCCGCCTCCCAAAGTGCTGGGATTATAGGTGTGGCTCAGTGCCTGGCTGATAGTCTTAATGATAATGACAATAGCTCACATCTGTTGAGCACTTACTGTATGATAGGCAGTGTTCTTTACATGTATTTACTCATTTAATTCTTCATTTATGATTACTTTTATGGAATGGCTACGATTACCCTAATTTACAAATGAGGAAACGACGACACAGAGTAATTTGCCTAAGGTCACAGGGAGTTATTGTTATTTTTGAGACAGGGTCTTTTCTCTGTCATGCAGGCTGAAGTGCAGTGGTCCGACCATGGTTCACTGCAGCCTCGACTTCCCAGGATCAAGCAATCTTTCTGCCAGAGCCTCCCAAGTATCCAGGACTATAGGTGCTTGCCACCATGGCTGGCTACTTTTTTTTTTTTTTTTTTTTTTGAGACAGAGCCTCACTCTGTTGCCCAGGCGGGAGTGCAGTGGCATGATCTCAACTCATTGCAACCTCTGCCTGCCAGGTTCAAGTGATTCCTTTTTTTTTTTTCTCAGAGGGAGCAGAGGCCTTTATTGGGGGCCATGGGCTAGCTGGTTTCAGTCAAAGGCCACACACTTGATCTTGAAGTTGCCGTCAGCTGCCGTGTAGTTGATGGCCTCCAGGTTGAGGCGGTTGGGGAACTTGAATTCGTATCCACCTGGCAGCTTGATGGTCAGGTCTACCTGGTCGAAGCTGATACACACCTCTGCGACGCTCCCAGGCTGGAAGGGAAAGGCAGCCTCCCGCTGCTCGGCCCCTCAGGCACTGCTGTCCTTGCTGTTGCACACGATGGTGTTGGCGTCCCCATGGGCGTTGAAGCGAGGGTTGAAGTGTAGGCACAACTTGTTGCTGTCTTTGCCCAGGTTCAGCACGAAGCTCTTGGCGTCAGGGACCCCCTTGCCCTGCACTCAGAGGCACTCCCCAGGTTTGAGTTTCAGGTTGCTGGCCTAGAGACCACAAGCCATGATTGAGGGCAGGAGGATGTTCGCGGGACAGGCGCACCAGCTGTCTCAGAGCTTTTTTTTTTTTGATACATAGTTTTACTCTTGTTGCCCAGGCTGGAGTGCAGTGGCGCAACCTCGGCTCACTGCAACCTCTGCCTCCTGGGTTCAAATGATTCTCCTGCCTCAGCCTCCCGAGTAGCTGAGATTACAGGTGCCAGCCACCAACCTGGCTAATTTTTATATTTTTAGTAGAGACAGGGTTTCACCACGTTGGTCAGGCTGGTCTCGAGCTCCTGACCTCAGCTGATCCACCCTCCTCGGTCTCCCAAAGTGCTGAGATTACAGGCATGAGCCACCGCTACTGGCCCAGTTCAAGTGATTCTTGAGTCTCAGCCACCCAAGGAGCTGGGGTGACAGGTGGGTGCCACCACACCTGGCGAAATTTTTTATATTTTTAGTAGAGATGGAATTTCACTATGTTGACCAGGCTAGTCTTGAATTCCTGACCTCAAGTGATCCACCTGCCTCAGCCTCCTAATTTTTTTATTTTTGTAGAGACGGGGTTTTGCCTTGTTGCTCAGGCTGGTCTCAAACTCCTGCCTGCCTCGGCTGTCTGCCTGCCTCGGCCTCCCAAAGTGTTGGGATTACAGATGTGAGCCACTGCGCCCCGCCACTCACATAACTATTAAATAGCAGAACCAGACCCTGGACAGTGTAGCTCTAAAGCCCACACGCTTACCAAATATGCTTCATTTACTGCCTCCCTGATACCAATATTATAATAACAGTGATAGAAAGTTGTCATAGTGTCCCAGGAGTGTACAGTGTTCTAGGCATTCTGCTAAGCACTTTTAAATATTTAAAAGAATGTTAGCCAGGCATGGTGGATCACTTGAGGCTAGGATTTTGAGATCAGCTTGAGCAACAGTGAGAACCTATCTCAAATTTTATTTTATTTTATTTTTTTATGGACTTACAGTACTTTTTTTTAATGGACTTGCGGTCCATTTTTAATTTAGTTTTTTTATGGACTTGCAGTCCATAATAAAAAATTTTTTTCTTTTTTTTTTTTTTTTTTTTTTGAGATGGCGTCTTGCTCTATCTCCCAGGCTGGAGTGCAATGGTGCAATCTCAGCTCACTGCAACCTCTGCCTCCTGGGTTCAAGCAATTCTCTTGCCTCAGTCTCCTGAGTATCTGGGATTACAGGCGGGCGCCACCACATCTGGCTAATTTTTGTATTTTTAGTTAGAGATGGGGTTTCACCATGTTGGTCAGGCTGGTCTTAAACTCCTGACCTCATGATCCACCTGCTCTGACCTCCTGAAGTGCTGGGATTACAGGTGTGAGCCACTGCGCCCAGCCAAAAAATAATAATTTTATTTTTTTATTTTTTATTTTTTGAGACGGAGTTTCACTCTTGTTACCCAGGCTGGAGTGCAATGGCGCGATCTCGGCTCACTGCAACCTCCGCCTCCTGAGTTCAGGCAATTCCCCTGCCTCAGCCTCCTGAGTAACTGGGATTACAGGCACGCGCCACCATGCCCAGCTAATTTTTTGTAGTTTTAGTAGAGACGGGGTTTCACCGTGTTGACCAGGATGGTCTCGATCTCTTGACCTCGTGATCCACCCGCCTCGGCCTCCCAAAGTGCTGGGATTACAGGCTTGAGCCACCGCGCCCGGCAATAATTTTATTAAAGAATGTGGTAGTCATTAATATTAATAGTGACCCTACATTAAGCACTTAATGTATGTTCTATGCAGTGGAGATTACCCACATTTTGCAGATAAGGAAACGGAGGTGCAGACAGGCCTGTGAAGCTTTATTTTGATTTGAGCCTCCATGGTTGGTGAGGAAGTTGCCTGGGCTGGGTAGAACACCTGTGAGAGGTTCTGGAGATCTGGGAGGCCCCCATCATCAGTTAGTAGATCGAAACCTCTATGCTTTTTTTTTTTTTTTTTTTAATGGAGTCTTGCTCTGTCGCCCAGGCTGGAGTGCAGTGGCTTTATCTCAGCTGACTACAACCTCTGCCTCCTGGATTCAAGCGATTCTCCTGCCTTAACCTCCTGAGGAGCTGGGACTGTAGGCACGTGCTGCCACGCCTGGCTAATTTTTTTATTTTTTTAGTAGAGACGGGGTTTTACCATATTGGCCAGGCTGGTCTCGAACTCCTGATCTCGTGATCTGCCCACCTCAGCCTCCCAAAGTGCTGGGATTACAGGAGTGAGCCACTGGTCCCGGCCCCTATGTCTGCTTTTTAGTAGGTCTCCTATATTAGTGACAGATCGTCCTGGACTGTTGGGCTCTTGGATGAGTGGTCACATAAGGGGTGTTCGTCAGGGCCCCCATGGTCTTGGCGTAAACTTGTGCAGCTCTGATGATGGGATATGCTTGTTTCCTAGGCCAAGATCAAGCAAAAACTGCGGGAAATTGAAGAAAATCAGAAGCGGATTGAGAAATTGGAGGAATACATCACTACAAGCAAGTATGTAGCTCTGCAACTGTCCCCCTTACTTCTAGGCCTGTTCTTGTGACCCTGCCTGTCCTGCCCGTCTTCACACAGGACCTCCAGAGCTCTCTGAGCCAGGAGTGTTTTCTCACCAGCAGGAGTAATTCCTATGTGCCCTCACTTTGTAGGCAGTCTCTAGAAGAGCAGAAAAAGCTAGAGGGGGAGCTGACAGAGGAGGTGGAGATGGCCAAGCGGCGTATTGATGAAATCAATAAGGAGCTGAACCAGGTGATGGAGCAGCTAGGGGATGCTCGCATCGACCGCCAGGAGAGCAGCCGCCAGCAGCGAAAGGCAGAGATAATGGAGAGCATCAAGCGCCTTTACCCCGGCTCTGTGGTAAGAGCGGAAAGGGAACTCATTTCCTGAGCACTTAGACTCACTGTCACATGATTTTCCCAGCAGCCCTCTGAGGACAGGGTTGCCAGTCCCATTTTTATTGTTGTGGGAATTGAGGGTTGGAGAGGTTTTAAAAAGCAGCACTTCTAAGTGGAAGAACTGCAGTTCAGACCCAACATGTTCTAAGCTCATGTTCATTTTTTTTTTAAATTTTTCAAATGAGTGCCTGTCATACTAGGCACTCATGTTCTTCTCATCATACCAATTGCATCTTTCTGAAGGGTTTGTCTTGCTGTGTCCATGCCTCTGGGAGGGGAATTGGAAAAGCAGGGAAGATTTTGGAAGCAGATGGGGCCACAGGGCTGGAATTACTCTCCCAGGAAGTAGCTCTGCGCAGTCTTCTATATGTGCTCCCGTGGCATGTACTAACCAGCCCAGTAGCTTTTAGGGACACCCTGAGCTTTATCAGATCTCTTGATCTTTTGGCCTCTTTCACCAAATCCTGAGTTCCCAGGTTCCCTGAATATTATGCCATACTTGGGTTCAATTTAGTTGGGTTCCACAAAACTCTTCTAGGCACTGCTGGGGAGATAAGTATGAATTAGAGTCAGTCTCTGCCCTCTTATCTGATAGTTCTTAGGGAACCAGGCTTGGCTTTGGAGGCTGCAGGAAAGGAACTGGTAAAAAAATATTATTTTGAGAGGGAGTCTCGCTCTGTCACCCAGACTGGAGTGCAGTGGCGCAGTCTTGGCTCACTGCACACTTCATGTCCCAGATTCAAGTGATTCCTCTGCCTCAGCCTCCCAAGTAGCTGGGATTACAGGCACCCACCACCATGCCCAGATAATTTTTTTGTATTTTTAGTAGAGATGAGGTTTCTCCATGTTGGCCAGGCTGGTCTTGAACTCCTGACCTCAAGTGATCCGCCTGCCTTGACCTCCCAAAGTGCTAGGATTACAGGTGTGAGCCGCCATACTAGGCCAGATTTATTTTGCTAAGGGCCTAAGAGAATTTGAAATAATAAATATAAGATATTTGGCATAGTGCCTGGGTAGCAGCAGTCTGTAAAATGGTAAATGTGAGGTTTAGAAAGATGATTTTGGATTCAGACACGACTGCCTGAAGTCATTGCTTGGGAGCCAGAATAGGCTTTTCCTTTATAGCATGGGGGCTGTCTTCTTCTGTGAGACAGGAAAAAACCAAAGTGTTTTTTCTACTCTCACACAACCAGCACAACACTTCACTTCTGACACCAGAAGTGTGGGGGTTTTTCCTCACACACCAGCAATTCTCCAGCAGACACCAGCTGGGTGACCTATAATTCAGTTCAGCTCTAACACTATTTATCTAGAGATAGCATCAGATCCCACAGGTTAGGGCTCAGTCCAACACTTCAGATGCCAGTTGCAAGTCTCACGTTGTGACTTGTGGTTCTGACTGACCTGTAAATTACAGTTCCCGAGAGTCCCTGCCTGGGTTCAATTAATTTACTAGAGCAGCTCACAGAACTCAGGAAAATGTTTTACTTACATTTACCCATTTATTATGAAGGATATTACAAAGGATACAGAGAACAGCCAGATGGATGCATAAGGCAAGGTATGGGAGAAGAGGTGTGAAGCTTCCATGCCCAATCTGGCAAGCCACCCTCTAGGTACCTTCACACAAGGGCTTCATTATGTATTCATGATTGATCAAATCATCAGCCAACAGTGATCAGTTCAACCTTCAGGCCCCTCTCCCCTCCTGAAGGTTGTGGGGGTGGAGCTAAGAGTCAAATCTAATCATGCCTTGGTCTTTCTGGTAACCAGCCCCTATCTAGAAGCTGTCTATTGGCCTCCAGCCATAATTGTCTCATTAACATGCAAAGGACACTGCTCATTTTTGAGATTCTAAGGGTTTTAGTTGTGTGTCAGGAACTCTGGCGTAGAAGACTAATTATGTATTTCACAATATCACAGTCCAACCTGGTCTTCAAACACAGATCCCTTGCATCAGAACAATCATGTAATGTAGAAAGAGGCCGGGAGCAGTGGCTCATGCCTGTAATCCTAGCAGTTTGGGAGGCCAAGGTGGGTGGATCACCTGAGGTCAGGAGTTCGAGACCAGCCTGCCAACATGGTCAAACCCTTGTCTCTACTAAAAATACAAATATTAGCTGGACATGGTGGTAGGCGCCTGTAATCCCAGCTATTCGGGAGTCTGAGGCAAGAGAATCGCTTGAACCCAGGAGGCAGAGGTTGCAGTGAGCCGAGATTGTACCACTGCACTCCAGCCTGGGTGACAGAGTGAGACTCTGTCTCAAAAAAAAAAAAAAAAAGGTAGAAAGATACTGGCATGTTAATAGAATCGCGTTCAGTTATTAATAATTAGTCCATGATATCATATGAATATGTCTCCTAGGGCAAGGCCATTCAGGTTTGCAGGCTTCTATTCAATCTCATTAGGTTCCAAAACCAGGAGTGTTCTCAGCAAACATAGCTTCACACTCAACAGGCATCTGGGATAACTGTGCTAAGAGACAATATCATCTCTTGCTCTGAACCTCTTTTGAGGTGTTAATGTAATATTGAGTTTCCCTCATTACATAACTCTCATTTCTTTACCTCCCTTCTCTTACCCAAACTTTTCCACCTTTGGAAGGGACATTAGGATTGGCCACTGTGCTGGTCTAGAGTGCACGCAGCCATCTAGTCTGCAATTGCCTATTCCTCAGTCCATACAGTCCCATTCAGATAGGGTAGGGTTACGTAGGTACAGAACTAATGGTCTGTTTCGTTGTTGTTGTTGTTGTTTTCTTTTTTTTTTTTTTTTTTTTGAACATAAACTCAAGATTTTATTGTCTTCATAAAAGATGACACTTAGAACTGGATCACTTGGCCCTTTCTCTTCTTATCTCCTCCCAATTCAAAATGCTTGCATCTTTTAATAGCCAGCATTCTCTTAGATCTGCAGTTGGGCTCAACGCACTCGAGCCTCAGCACAATCTTCTTTGTAGTTTTAGCCTTTTTCCGGAAAATCGGCTTAGTTTGCCCACCATAGCCACTCTGCTTCCTGTCATAACGCCGCTCTCCCTGGGCATACAGAGAATCCTTGCCCTTCTTGTACTGTGTCACTTTGTGGGGTTGGTGCTTGCCACACTTCTTACAGAAAGTCCGGCGGGTTTTAGGAACGTTCACCATTTCTGCGTGAGCGCTACCGGCACGGAAAAAAGCTGTTGTTGTTTTCTTGAAACGGAGTTTCGTTCTTGTTGCCTAGGCTGGAGTGCCATGGCACAATCTTGGCTCGCTGCAACCTCCGCCTCCTGGGTTCAAGCGATTCTTCTGCCTCAGCCACCTGAGTAGCTGGGCTTACAGGGGTGTGACACCACACCTGGCTAATTTTTTTTTTTTTTTTTTTTTTTTTGTATTTTTAGTTGAGACGGGGTTTCACCATGTTGGCCAGGCTGATCTTGAATTCCTGACCTCAGGTGAGCCGTCTGCCTCAGCCTCCCAAAGTGCTGGGATTACAGGCGTGAGCTACTGCGCCCAGCCTTTATTTTTGTTTGTTTTGAGACAGAGTCTCATTATGTTGTCCAGGCTGGTCTTTAACTTCTGGGCTTAAGCAGTCCTCCCACTGCAACCTCCCAAGTAGCTAGGATTACAAACACACACCACCATGCTCGGTATTAGGTTATCTTTACCACTAGGCAATACAGTTGCATTTACTTTGTGATTTAGATTTTAGTCTATCCCCCTTTCCACACTGGGAATTAGGATTCCTGAGCCAGCTCCCAAAAGCCTCATGCTTCAGTTTTCCCTTCCTACTTTACTCAGTATGGCCGACTCATCGACCTATGCCAGCCCACACAAAAGAAGTATCAGATTGCTGTAACCAAGGTTTTGGGCAAGAACATGGATGCCATTATTGTGGACTCAGAGAAGACAGGCCGGGACTGTATTCAGTATATCAAGGAGCAGCGTGGGGAGCCTGAGACCTTCTTGCCTCTTGACTACCTGGAGGTGAGGCTTATTGGGGATTGGGTCAGGCCAGTGTTCAAGGGCCCTTCCTCTAGTACTCCATGTTTGTGTTCTGCCACTGACTGAGCTTCTCCCCACAGGTGAAGCCTACAGATGAGAAACTCCGGGAGCTGAAGGGGGCCAAGCTAGTGATTGATGTGATTCGCTATGAGCCACCTCACATAAAAAAGGCCTTGCAGTATGCCTGTGGCAATGCCCTTGTCTGTGACAATGTAGAGGATGCCCGCCGCATTGCCTTTGGAGGCCACCAGCGCCACAAGGTGTGGATTCCCTTGCCCAGGTTGGAGCCGGACAGGCTTAACACTGGAGATTAATTTGTTCAGCTTCTCCCCCTCTTCTTTCTTCCCCCTGCTGTGTTTAGACAGTAGCACTGGATGGAACCCTGTTCCAGAAGTCAGGGGTGATCTCTGGTGGGGCCAGTGACCTGAAGGCCAAGGCGCGCCGCTGGGATGAGAAAGCAGTTGACAAGTTGAAAGAGAAGAAGGAGCGCTTGACAGAGGAGCTGAAAGTAAGTCACAGGCAGTGCTGTTTTTAGCAGTGGGGGTCCTAAGCCTGGGTCGGCCACCACCTTACCACCTAGCCCTTCTTTCTTTTTCACTTCAGGAGCAGATGAAGGCAAAACGGAAAGAGGCAGAGCTGCGTCAGGTGCAGTCTCAGGCCCATGGACTGCAGATGCGTCTCAAGTACTCCCAGAGTGACCTAGAACAGACCAAGACACGACATCTAGCCCTGAATCTGCAGGTGGGGCCTGGCCTTCAGCCCTGTTCTCCAAAGGCCATCCACACATTCCTGGCCTGTGTTTCTCTGGGGGTGGGCAACTTGTTTCACTTTGCTGTCTCCTCTCAGTCTGCCCCAGGGAGCCAAGTGTAGCATAGAGTCAGACAGCCAGGGGTTTAGAGCTTGGCTCTACCTTGGGAATGACATTAGACAAATAATTTCACCTCTCAGTGTCAACTTTCACATCTTTATCTGTGAATTGGGAGTTAATACCTACTCAGCTGGGTGCGTTGGCTCATGCCTGTAATCCCAGCACTTTGGGAGGCTGAGACAGGTGGATCACCTGAGGTCAGGAGTTGGAGACCAGCCTGGCCAACATAGTGAAACCTTATCTTTACTAACAATACAAAAAATTAGCCGAGCATGGTGGCAGGTGCCTGTAATCCCAGCTACTTGGGAGGCTGAGGCAGGAAAATTGCTGGAACCCAGGAGGTGGAGGTTGCAGTGAGCCGAAATTGTGCCACTGTGTTCCAGCCTGGGTGACAGAGCGAGACTGTGTCTCAAAATAAAAAAATAAATGATACCTACTTTATAGGGTCATTATTGAATGAGTTAACATGTAAAGTGCTTAAGACTACTATGTGTTCAGTTTATGTTAGGTGGTATTGTTGGCATAATTTGCTCATTCAACAAATTTGAATTTTTGAAAGTGAGCTATGGGCATTTCAGTCCCTGCCTGTGTTTTCGGTGGGGGGAGGGAGGACACTGTTCTAGGTATATTAATGGTTTTGTTTTTTTTTATTGAGTACTTCCCCAGACCACCCTAGAGGTGTTATATGCAGTGTGTGTATGTATATATCATTTAATCTCCTTTTTCTAAACTCAAAAAATCTAAACTGAATTCCCAAACAACTCTGGCCCCAGGGATTATAGAGCAAAGTATGGGACCTATACCTAATGATGTTTACTGTGTGCCCAGCCCTGTGGATTGAAGCTGGCTGAACTGGATGCCAGGGAAGAAGCCATGTGATGGCTCCAGTGCAACATCATGAAGACTTGACTAGAGCAGTAGTGCTAAGCCAGGTTCTCTCAATTGTGGAGGGCTATCCCTTCCTGACTGTGGGGCCAATGCAGTCAAGGTAGCTTTTCCTACAAGGAGCCTGGTCTGCTTTGTCCACCCATTGCCTGTAGGAGAAATCCAAGCTGGAGAGTGAGCTAGCCAACTTTGGGCCTCGCATTAATGATATCAAGAGGATCATTCAGAGCCGAGAAAGAGAAATGAAAGACTTGAAGGAGAAGATGAACCAGGTTGGTAGGGTGTGGGCCATGCCGGCGTGTGTGTCAGGGCAGGACTGGGACTGGAAGCAGGCCAGACTAAAAGGCCCGGTGCCCTCCCTGGCTTCTCTTCTCAGGTAGAGGATGAGGTGTTTGAAGAGTTTTGTCGGGAGATTGGTGTACGCAACATCCGGGAGTTTGAGGAAGAGAAGGTGAAACGGCAGAATGAAATCGCCAAAAAGCGGTAGGTGGGAGGATTGGTAGAAGAGATTGGGATGCCCTTGAGCCTCTCGCCTGACATCCTTGGAAAACCAGATGCTGTCATAAGGCAAGAATCAGTTCTTAGGACTATGTGAGTTTATGCAGGTAGGCCTTAAAGAACAGAAATCAGGAGGGCAATATGGCATAGTATAGTGGTTAAGAGTGCCAGCTCTCCCACTTATATGTATTTTATTAAAATTTATAAGCAAGAAATTATAGATAAGTGGTTATGACCTAGGAAGACAAAGAATCTCTCTTAAGAAAGAGAAGTGATGGCAATGTAAATAAAAATACTGTTTATATTCACATGATTTTAAGAAAACTGTAAAAGCAAAGACTTTGTAGTAATGACACAAACATGAAAAATAGATGTTTTCATAAAATTGGCTGTCAATATAATTATGTTTCTGCCAGCCGGGCACGGTGGCTCACGCCTGTAATCCCAGCACTTTGGGAGGCCAAGGCGGGTGGATCATGAGGTCAAGAGATTGAGACCATCCTGGTCAACAGGGTGAAACCCCGTCTCTACTAAAAATACAAAAATTAGCTGGGCATGGTGGCGCGTGCCTGTAGTCCCAGCTACTCAGGAGGCTGAGGCAGGAGAATTGCCTGAACCCAGGAGGCGGTTGCGGTGAGCCGAGATCGCGCCATTGCACTCCAGCCTGGGTAACAAGAGCGAAACTCCGTCTCAAAAAAAAAAAAAAAAAAAATTATGTT